ACTTGGAAGCAGTCCTCTCCTGAAGGCTAGAAATCATATAATGGGGGTCTGCAGTCAAACCACATCGGGGTAAACCTTGCTGTCTGTTAGTTCTGATCTGCCCGTAGAGACCCAGTTGAGAAAGGGGTCTGAAAAACCAATCTTAAAAGTAAACCAGAAATATTACTCCTGAAGATAAGCATCACTGTAAACCATCCAAAATGGTTTCCTTAAAACCCTTAAAGAATACCCCCATAAAGCATTTATGTCACAAGGCAAACTTAACATGCTTCTAAAAAACTAAAGCCATCTAAGTAGGATGCAGTGGAAGATGATTTTGAAATCCTGTTAATCAAAAAAACCCAATCTTAATTAAAAAAAAAACTTTAAATCTTATCTTGCATTTCCTTGGAGCTCTGTAGCGCAGGCAAGAAAATATTCACCAAGCAAAATTTCAATTTGTATTTTCAATGCCTTTGTTGTAACTTCCCTTTGCGCACTCTTTAGGGTTCGTGAGTATTCGATGTTGAAGAGAGCTACAAAATCTGTTTTCAGCACTTTTCCCCTCAAAATAATTAACACTTCTGGCTTCTTCGAGCGTGAAAAGCGCTTAGATCTTGCACTGCGCGCGCGCGCCGACAGCGGTGGGGGGGGCGGACATTTAAAGTTTAAAAGGCAAATCATGCTTTCATTGCCTCAAGATAACCCGCCTAATGGGTTTTCAATGACAAGCCCAATAGTAAGGCGTTTTCGAATATATTAAACACTGTCGTCATGAGAGGCACATATTCACTCATCTCCTTCATTCACAAGCGTAGAGATGGATTTTCCCTCCAGCAGTTAGGCGTGCCACGTTAAAACCCTATCAGAAATAATCAATATCATCCTTCTATATTCGGAAAACCACATCGGTCTCCAAGGCCCCGCAAAATATAAATGACTAATAACTGCAAAGTCAGGAAAACAACACGCAGGAACTCGGATGTTGGCAATCTCGCCAAGTTTGTTTTTAACGCTTTGTCACAAATCGTGGCATAGTATGAAAACGAAATTTACCTTCAAATAAGATTTGAGTTTCCTCCAGTAAACTCGTAAATCCATACGGGTGACGAATGGTACCGAATTCCAA